CAATCATTGTAACTTGAGTGAATTTTTTTTTTTAAATTCTTAACATTCACGTAATTACATCTATAGCAAAAAAAAACCTAACTCTATATGTTGTTTTATAATAGATACTAAAACCAAAACCCACTGCCGCCAAGTTGATTCTCACTCATAGCAACCCTATAGGACAGAGTGGAACTGCCCCATTAAGTTTTCAAGGAGCGCCTGATGAATTCAAACTGCCAACCTTTGGTCAGCAGCCATAGCTATTAACCACTATGCCACCAGAGATTCCAACAGATACTAAAAATAAAAAATAATGAAACCAATGTTACCTATATAGCAAATACTTCATTCTATTAAACCAAGACTATCTGTATAACGCACAGCAGTATCAAAAAGCATGTGCAAATCTGGCATTTGTAGTATAACAGCTACAAGAGCCATGGAAATATTAAGAGTATAGTATTGATTTAATTAGGGGCCCAGATGGCACTATGGTTAAACAAGCGCTCTGCTGCTAACCGTAAGGTCGGCAGTTTGAACCCACCTAGCGGCTTCCGGGGAGAAAGACCTGGCTAGAAAACGTAGCCTAAAAACAAGCCTAGAAAACCCTATAGGGCAGTTTTATTCTCTCACATGTGGTTGCTATGAGTTGGAATCAACTCAACAGTACCTAACAACAACAACTGATCTGATTAATATTGCAACTGAGATATTCCAGACAATTACCAATTATTACATGTGGAATATGAATCAGTAACAAAACAACAAAAAGGAAATGGATCACAATTGTTTTTATCCCTCAGTATAATTATAAGCCGGAATCAACTCGGTGGCAACGGGTTTGGTTTTTTAGTATAATTACAGAGTCCCTGGGTGGTGCAAACAGTTAAGTGTTTTACTACTAGCTGAAAGGTTGGTGGTTTGAACCTACCCAGAGTCTCCTTGGAAGACAGGACTGGAGATCTGCTTTTGAAAGGCCACAGCTTTGAAAACCCTGTGGAGCAACAGTTCTACCAACACACATGTAGTCATCATGAGTCAAAATCAACTCGATGACAAACAAAACATAATTGCAAGCCAATAAAATATGAGAATTAAAAAGATCACAAAATCATGGAAAGAAAAAAGTGTTATTTCATAATCCTCAGGGCACTCAACTAAACAGCTGTGAAAGACAGAAACAAACTGAATAATGAAAGACGGTGCTTGGAGGCACTCAATACTGTATTTACGAAAAGTAAATCAACAGACCTTGACTTTACAGAGGGATAGTCTAGTTTACAGGTAAATTATCTTTATTAGGCCTGTAATTAAAGAATCAGAAATGTGATAATCTTACAATCATTTTCTAAGTACAAACTCTTCAGCCTAGCCCTTCACAATCTGCTTCTCTGGCCTTCTACGTATTCCACCACCTCAAAGCAATTTGTGCTCCTTATTTACCTTCTTTAAAATTTCTAAGTGTTCACCATCCTAAACCTTATTTGCAAAGCTTACATGTTCACTATCATGTTGCCAGAATTCCCATTCCTAGGTAAATACCCAGAGGACTTGAAAGCAGAGACTCAAACAGAGACTTGTACACCAATAGCCACAATAGCCAAAAGGTAGAGACAACCTAAATGCCCATCAACAGATGAATGGATATACATTCAATGCTACTCAGCCACTAGGAGAAACGAAGTCTTGATACATGCTACAATATGGATGAAACTTGAAGACATCATGCTGAGTGAAGTAAGTCAATCAGAAAAGGACAAATATTGTACAGCCTCCCTTAATAAAAAGATAAGAACAGACAAATGTATAGAGACCAAAGGTTATTAGTGGTTACCAGGGGCAGGAGGGAGAGGGAAAAGGGGGGTTAACAGTAATGGAAAAACCACATTAAGAGCAGGGTTTCACAGTCAATTATTGTAATTGCTGTCAATAAGTTGTACACCTGTTAAAGTTGAACTGGCAGAAGTTGTGTGATGTATTTGTAACAACAAAAGAAAAAAAAAGACAGAGAGTAGCTGCTGAGGCTGCTTATGTACAACCAAATACCTCATGGGATTTGGTTCCTTGGTTTGGAGGTTAGGGTCATGGTTTCATGGAATATCCCGGTTAATTGGCCTAATAAGGTGTTTAGTACTTATGTTCTATCTCCTAGTTCCTTGCATAGTGCCTGGGGTCTTAAACGCTTGCACAACAATTGGCCTCTATTTACCTGGAGCAACAGAGGAAGAAGGAGTCAGGAATAGGAGGAGGAAATGGAATGTGTGGCTAACTGCCTCCATGAACAACTGCCTCCTTTGCCAGGACACCAGAAATGGATAGTGCCCAGCTACCATTACTGAACATTTCTGATCCAAGATTCCATAGAAAAATCCTGATCAAAAGGGGGAAAGTGCAGAGAAGAATTTCAAATTCTCATGGACTCTAGACTTTCTGGAGCCATGGAGGCCGGATGAATCCCTGAAACTATTGCCCTGAGATAATCTTTAAACCTTAAACCAAAAAATAATCCCTTGAAGTCTTCTTAAAACCAAATAATAGTTTAGCTTAACCAGTAAAAAATGTCTGCAAGAACTATCTACATGGATCAAACTGACAATGACAACTCAAAAGATTAGGGGGCAGAGAGTTTATGTTAATGACAGAATAATAACTTAGAAAAGGAGGGTGAGAATGGTTGCACAACTCAAAGAATGTAATCAATGTCACTAAGCTATACCTGTAGAAACTGCTGAATGGTATATGTTTTCCTGTGTATATTCTCAAGAACAACCACAAAATAAACTTCAGATGGGAAAAAAAAAAAGTGGTCTCCTAAGAACGTAAAATAGTGCAGTGACTCTGGAAAACAGTCTGCCAGTTCCGGAACAGTTAAACATAGTTACCATATGATCCAGCCATTCCACTCCTAGGTATGTACACATGAGAAATTACAAAAATCTGTACACGAGTGTTTATAACAAAGTCCCTGGATGGTGCAAAAGGTTATTGCCCTCTTTGCTAACCAAAAGGATGGTAGGTTTGAGTCTACCTAGAAGTGCCCTAAAAAATCAGCCACTGAAAATCCTGCGCAGCACAGTTCTGCTCTGACACACGAGGTCACCATGAGTCAGAATCAACTCAAACACAACTGATTTTTTTTCTTTTTTTAATTCATAGCTGCCCACAGTGGAAACAATCTAAACATCCATCAACTGACCAACGGATAAACAAAATGTAGTTTACTTATACAGTGGAATACTATTCAGTAATAAAAAAGAATAAACTGTTTCAACAGGGGTGAACCTTGAAAGAAGCCAGTCACAAAAGACCACATATTCTATGATACCCGGCATATGAAACGTCAAGAACAGGGAAATCTACAGACAGAAAGTAGATTAGTGGTTGCCAGGGGGGAGGGAGTGATAGCCAAAGGGTATGGGGTTCCTTTTTGAGGTGGTGAAAATGTTCTAAAATTGACAGTGGTGTTGGCTGTACCTATCTGTGAATATATTAAAAACCACTGAATTCTACTCCGTTACATTAAAAGCAAAAGTATTTCCAAACATCTAGCAATGGTGCTGTTGTTAGGTGCCGTCGAGTCGGTTCCGACTCATAGTGACCCTATAGGACAGAATAGAACTGCCCCACAGGGTTTCCAAGGAGCGGCTGGTGGATTTGAACTCCAACCTTTTGGTTAGCAGCCGAACTCTTAACCATTACTCCACCAGGGCTCCATCTAGCAATGGTTCACTTAAAAGATCAAATAATCAAAAATAAATAAATCAGCATCTTCCTTGGTGGTTCCTTGGCTTCACAGTAGTATGTGACCAGAGTTGGAAAGACTCCCTGTATGATATATAGAAATATAATGATAATATTCTTGATAAAACACTGATTTATCTATTTAAAACAATAGTAGTCTCCTCCTAAATTCCTAGAGTTGCCAATTTTCTAACCCTTCGAGTAAATCATGTAAGTCCCACGATACAATCAACACACAAAAACTTAGAAACTACACAATACATGGTTAGAAAGATAGCCACATTTCACAACTCAGAAAAGGAGGGTGAGAATGGTTGCACAACTCAAAGAATGCAATCAATGTCACTGAAGTGTCATGCAGAAACTTGAATTGTATGTTTTGCTATGTATATTCTCACAACAAAAAATAATAAATTATAAAAATAAATAAAAACATAAAAAAGGCACATTTAATGTGGCCCAAATCACTGCTCTATGTAAACTTGAGAACATTCCCAACCAGCTGAACGTCTTGTAGAAAGACGACTCTTTATCATCAGTCAGCACGTTAGTCTCCCTTAACACCTAGGCCTGCACCACTTCATGGTATGAGCACACTTTAAAGAGTCATGATAGGAAAGACTAGATTACGAAACCATAAACAGTAAACACAGCACATCCACCAGGCGTTGAAAGAAATTATAGCGCTATTTCACTCAGACGCTGCCATTTCTCATGTTAGTTAATGGATTCTGTTTCTACCAAGGCAGTTGCGAAACGCATTCACACTCCATCCCAAATCTATCAGTGGGACAGGCAGAGGCTGAGTCATTCCTAGAAGTAACTTTATACCGATCCCCGCACTCCAGGGTCGGACAAAGACACCGTCTCTCGATTCCTCATACCCCATGCGCTTCGATTGGCCTCAGCCAGCTCCACTCCGCGGTTTCCAAAGTCTGAATCCATCAGGGTTGAGCCCTTGCAGTGCTGACAGCGAGGGAGGGTGCGTCCCGGGGTTCCAGGCGTACCTCGCCCTCTGCCGGGTCTTGACAGGCGGAGGCACTGGGAGGGACCCGAGGACAACGAAGAACGCCTCCCGAACCCGGGGGATCGACGCGGACGCTTGGTCTCCACAAGGGCCGTCGCGCTGGGATCTGGGGGCCCGCGGACGCGCACACCTGCCATGGGCTCGGCTCAGGGCCAGTGGGGAGGTGGCTGCAGCCCCGGTACCCTCTGCCCCGCTCGCCGCCCGCCGCGGGGCCCTTATGGGGGAAGGGAATGGGGTAGGCGGCACTCACCGGGCAACGCCTCCTCCTCCGCCGGCGGCGGCAACAGCAGAGCTCAAGGTCCCTGGCACCATCTTCTGCCGCCGCCTAGTCCTCGGCGGCGGCTACCAACCGCCCATTCGGCTCTGCCAACCGACACAACCGTCCGCGTCCCAGCACTCGGCGGCGGGCGAGTAGGAGGGGCCAAGCGGCGAGGGCGCGCAGTCAGGCCCCCCGGCTCTGAGGCGGGTGTGGGAGCAGGGGTCGGGCAGAGCCGAGGGGCCCGTACGGCTGGGAACCCCGGAGGCAGAAACGAGGCTTGGCAGGGTCGCGGACTCCACCGCTTGGCTCAGTTTGTTATTGTCGACTCGCGAGCTTCCTCCGCGAAGCATGCCGGGAAAGGCCCGCCGTGCAAGGGAGGGGCGCGCCGAGCCGCGAGTGAGCCGGCTGCGCAGAACGGCGTCGGAGCAGGCTCGGAAGTGAGGAATGCTGGGAAGGGGGTGGCCCTACCTGCAGCCGTTGCCTGGCGAGCTAGCTGGCGGTCTTGCCAGCTGGGCCTGTCCTGAGCTAACCGGCGGGGACGGCTGGACTTGCCTGTGGCGGTGCTAGCTATCGGCTGCCCAAAGGTGAGCTTGACCTTCCTGGCTAAAGCAACACGGCCCGAGCTAGGTCGAGCCCCTTGAACTTTGGGCCAGCCCTAGGTGGGAGGGCACGCGCCCTGTCGCGGACGAGCGGGACCCGCCGAGGGTTGTCGCTACCCAGGGGCCTTCTGGCACCGCGCTAGGATCTGTGACCGACGGGACGACTTGCAGGGAGGGCTGTGGCTTGATCAGGCAAGACTACCACCACCACTGCCGCCCCATACCCAGGCGACAGCCAGCAAGGGCCCTTGTAACATTGCGCGGTTGAGGCGGCAAGTTTTTCAGACTAGGTAAGATGAAGGAAGTATCCAAGACTGAGAGGGCTGAAGCTTGGCTGATTGGAATGAAAATCTAAGCGCCACGACCACCCTTATTTAGCTTTAGTAGAACTGACTTCTCTAGTGGGTTAGTATGAGCACCCTAATGGAAAGGAAACCATTTCAGGACAGTCCTGAAGTGAATATGATCCTTCACAGGCAATTACTTGAAGCCACGAGGCTTGAGTGTTAAACGCTGAGGAACATTAGTTACACTTAGAAAAATGAGCCAGAATTGACTCGAGGGCAACGGGTTTGTTTGTTTAAATTCCTGGTAGATCCAGGAATAGGCGGTATGAGTAAAACCCTAGAGGCGCGACCTCACACAGACCTCACACAGCGATTGAAGTTACAGAGGACTTTTGAGGCGTGTTTGCATAAACATAAAATCGCCGATTTCAAGAGCAGCAAAAGAGAACAAATGCTATTTAGGAAGCAAAGTTTGTGGTTCTTCCTTTGTCACGGAATGTTAAAAACATTGAGTGACTACTAAACAGCTATTTTGGGTTTCCATCAGACTGACCCATATCTGAAAGTCACAGTCCAGTTATTTTTACCACTGTTTTTATTTTCTATTATTTTTATGTTGCACTGCTACATATCCCAGGGAGATCTTGTCTTTAAAGTCTTTGGAAAGTCGTTTTACTTGTTCGTATTTTTTAAGTTGGAATTTTGTTACATCACCCCAGCAACAGAAGTGAAAATTAAAGCCCTAAATTGTCAGGATGCCTTGCAGGGAAGGTGTGAACTGGAAAGACTAAAGAAAAGGAGCCGGCTCTATTAGTCACAGGATGTTGTTTTGTGCCTTTTTTAGTCTATCCGGACTCATACTGACTCTGTGGGAGAGAGTAGAACTGCCCCTAGGATCTCCTAGGCTGTAATCTGTACAAGAGCAGATCGACAGGTCTTTTCTCCCCCTGGTTTGATTGGTGAGTTCAAATCGCCTACTTTTCCACTAGCAGCCAAGAGCTTAAGCGTTGTGCCACTCGGGCTCCTTAGATACAGGATAAAAACAAAACCAAAACCAAACCCGTTGCTGTCTAGTGGATTCCAACTCATAGCGACCCTATAGGACAGAGAACTGCCCCATTGGGTTTCCAAGGAGCGGCTAGTTGATTTGAACTGCCGACCGTTTGGTTAGCAGTTAACCAAGCTCTTAACCACAGCCACCAAGGTGCCAGGCTCAGGATAATAATCAGCAAACAAAATAAGTGGTGAGGATGAGTTTGGCCAGAAAATTGCTAAGAAAAATATAACAATATTTAGGCCCTAAAAAACATTGGTGCTTGAACTTCCTCTTGATTATCAATGACATTAGCTGTTACAAATACAATCCAGTTTAGCATGTAAACACTTTGGAATATGCCAACAATCTATTAAAAAATAAAATATTTTAAACATTACTTGTCTCTCTGACTTTTTTTATTAGGGGAAAAAAAAAATCCAATCCTGAATTTCTCTCAATCGTAGACTAGAATAAATTACAAGAGATTACTGGCTTGTATCTTCTCCAGATTTTGTTAAACTCCAGGAATATTGGGTATTAGTGAAAGCCTAGAGGTTCGCCCTCACACAAGTGTTGTTAAGTTTGTTGCACATCCAAAATTCTTTCATAGGAATTAGTGGAAATAGCATTTAGATATTTAAAAAGTATTTACAAGAAATACTATTACAAGTTACTAATAGTGGATGTGTCCATAGTGATTATAATACAATGTAAATGACACAAAGATAAAGGTGCTGTGGGAGAGGAGAAGAGAGACTTATCTTACCCTTAATTTTTTAAGCATCTTAGGTGCTTTGATAGATTTTCAGTGAGGTCAAAAGAAAATGCCTGTCTGTCGAGGAGTATAGAGGAAGTATGCAGGGTCTACTGATAAACACTCTGAATACTTCAAATCAGTTCTTTAAAATCCTGTTTACCCTTCAGGTCCCAACTTCATTGTCACTTTGTTAGGAAGCATTCCCTGACATAATTGTAATCCCTCTAGATCCTCTGTTATATATTCCATAGCACTGCATACTCTTTTCCTAACAGCCATCAGCTCTGTAATTCTTTAATATCTACTGGCCATAAGCTCATTTTTGAGATTAGGGGCTGTTTCTCCAATGCCTGGTATGCAGTTAAGTGTACTTAGTAAACATGTATTGACAGTGCCTCACACTTTGTTCAGACCCTCAGTTTATACCTGGACTGACAAAACTAGTCTCCCTTAGTTATCCATCCAAGACCAGTACAGTTATGTGTGTTCCTCACCAATTAACCTTCATTGGTTTTGCTTTGTTTACTAGATAAAACTTCTTAATTAGCATAAAAATCTCTTGATGCTTAGTTACCAACCTGTCTCTCCAGCTATCCCAGCACTTTTACCCTATACACTTGCCTTTTTAGAGTTCCCTCATCTGGGCATGTACTTGCCCACTTGTTTACCTTTCTAAGTCATCCTTTAAACCAGCTTTGAACATCAGTATCTTCTAACTTCTAGACGGTGTAGTGATTGCTCATCTTTCTGCTACCTCTGCTGTATATCACAAAACTATAAATTTTTGTCTCCCCTCTAAGTCTGTGAAACCGTTAAGATTAGGAAAAATACTTATTTTTTAACTCCTCGATCCTTCCAGAGATCTTGGCACACAGTAGACAATAAAATTATTGAATGTAATGAATCCTACAAATACTTACATTATAGACTAGATAACAATTACTGTGGAGAATTCCTGCCCTGAAAAATCACAAAGACTAGTACAGGTATTCACAGTTCAAAATGATTGTAGTGACAAGTTTATAAGGCATTAATCCTTTGCCCACATACACTGAGGATATTGGGAAGATCAAGGTACACATCTTAATTTGTTAAATCTGCCCAATTTGGGATTTCATTCAACGTATGCATTAGATATTTCTCAAACAACTTGGTATCATTACCATAATTTTCTCTTAGGTTATGTTCAAACAACCAGCAAACACAGTTCACATAATTTGACTTTATTCCAAGTAGTATTGTCCATTTTTTAAAGAAACAAAAAGATAAACACCGTTTTGGACTTTGTTTTTAAGATCATAGCTAATTTTATGTCTTTAATATGGTTATGCTTTATTTAGAGTGCTGCTAGCACTGATTATTCAGTTAACGTTTTTAGTGTTATTTACAGACCTTGAAGCTACCCTGCTCAGTTGGTCTGCTGGTACTCACAGATATTATTAATTATAATGATGATGTTTAACCTGTGAATGATTATCTTCAAAGCTAGTGAAGAGCTTGATGAGCTAGTGAGCAACACTGCTTCTAATATTTCAACACAGCCAAGAAAATACTTCTAGCATGCTTAATTTTTCAAAAGATTTAAACCAATAAATTGAGCTAAAATATCTCTAATCATTTTTCACATTGGAAGAAATTATAACACCTCTTTAGTATCATACTTTGTTAGGTTCTTGTCTTTCTTTTGAAGAAGAGCGTCTTAGCAAAATGTCCAAAAATAGAGTTAAACTCCCATCACTGGAATGTCTTACAGAGTGGAAACTAATCAGTCATATAGTTAATGATGTTGTAGAATTGACTCAAACTTTAAGTGGTAATTGAGTTCAGGTAGTGGCTTCCAAACTTCTTTGTGACCCACAGTAAGAGATTCATTCTATATATACAGACCAAAGTTTATTACCGGTTACCAGGGGTGAGGTGGTGGGGGAAAGACGGGTTATTGCTTATGGAGTACTGAGTTTTGGTTTATGATAATGGAAAAATGGCATTAAGGGTAGAGTTGCACAGCTGATTATTCTAAGTGCTGTCAATAAGTTTGACACCTGTAAAAAACTGAGTTGTCAAAAGTGTGATACATTTACAACAATGACAAAAAAAAAGAGTGGCTGCTGAGGCTACTTATGCACAACCAAACACCTCATGGGATTTGGTTCCATGGTTTGGAGGTTTAGGGTAATGGTTTCATGGGACATCTCAGTTAATTCACCTAATATCTTGTTTTTAGTGCTTCTGTTCTACCTTCATTGTATAGTACCTAAAGTCTTAAAACCTTTCAAGTGGCCATCTAAGGCACAACAGTTGGTCTGTATTCGCCTGGAATAACAGAGGAAGGAGAGTCAGGAATAGGAGGAGGAAATGGAATGCGTGGCTAATTGCTTCTATGAACAACTTCCTCCTTTGCCAGGAGACCAGAACTGAATGGTGCCTGGCTACCATTACTGAACATTTTGATCAAAGATTCTACAGAAGAACCCTGATCAAAAGGGGGAAAATGCAGAAGATAATCTCAAATTCTCATGGAATCTAGACATTCTGGAGCCATGAAGGCTGGATGAATCCCTGAAAACTATTGCCCTGAGATAATCTTTAAACCTTAAAC